TTCTAAAGGGGGATGTCAGGGGCGGGAAAGTGAAATAGCAAAAGCGGTTCCACCGTTTCCATTAAAATTTCAAATAAAATAGTTCCAGCCTCAGGCGCTAGGTGGTAGTGCAATTAATTTTTAAGTTAAGAAGTTGCTACTCGATATTGCCAGATGGCGTTAAATCAGATTTTTTTTGTAGTTTCCATAGTTTCCAACGGCCATTGTCATACTAATGTCAAATTCTCAAAAAATATTGTCGTTGTCATAGCGCTAATCATAATATTATCAAATGATTATCAAAACGTTTTTCAAACTATAATTTGTTATATGTGTTTTAATTAAACAATTCCTTTTGTTTGTGGCCCTAAAAATATAATGTAAGTCTTTTATTTTTGCCATCATTTAAGTACCTATTTATATTTACTCCATTTACAAAACTTTGGACGTATTACGTTGATCTTGTTTTAATAAACGATGTTTAAATATTTGACTTATAAATAAAAACTTTAAATAATAAATAATATTTCACATGTTTTTTTAATTTTATTTAATAATTGTATAAATTATACTGTTAAATCTTATTTTTTACACATCACAACGATACTTGTTATTAGTATTGTTGAATTTGTGTAAAAAATAAGATTTAATAATCAAATCTAATTATTATAGAGTAAAATTCAATAAATACGCTCATTTAAAAAGCCCGCGCTTCGATCCCTTTAGAACAAGCCCTACTCAATAGATGGCGCCACTTTTGTAGGACCATTTTTCATTATGGCAGAGTCCATTCTTTTTCTAGTTAGGTATATTCTTTGGGGGATGTTTTGTGATTTTGACGTGATTGACAATATAAAAAAGTCATTTTAACGCCTAGCCATAGAAGTAAAGCACTTTTACGCATAAGCACAAAAGTACGAAATTATATTATTAAACTGACATAAAGTGTCAAATTCAACGAGCGTAACCATAGTTTTTTGATATACAGGGTGGTCCGAACTGTATTCCGGAAACTTCGGCGGCATATTCTGCAGATAAAAATAAGTAAAAAAGTTCGTATAAATGTATGTCCTAAAATACTTAGTTTCGGAGATACAGGGTGTCAAAGTTTTATTTTTATTTCGATTTTTTCTAAATAATTTCTGAAGTAATGTAAATATTTGAAAATTGACACATACATTTATACGAACTTTGTTTACTTATTTTTATCTGCAGAATCGGCTGCCGAAGTTTCCGGTATACAGTTCGGACCACCCTGTATAATTACATACAAGGTATTACCACGGCATATAAATCAATCAGCAGGCTAACTCGCTTTGGCGGGAACGCTACGCGCATATCCTCGCGCACGCCGCCATTTGCGTTTCCATCAGCAGAAAGTAACCAGTGTCGTAGTTTTTTCAGCGACAACACACAGTTACGGCAGATTCGAGTCAGTAGCGTGCGGCTTAATTTATTTTGATTTTTTCTTGAGTTATATATTTTGTTTTTATTGTTTTATTTTTGTTTATTATGTGATATATTTGGTTTTTCTAGTTTTATTTTCGTTTCTTATGTAATATGATTTGTTTTAGTAGTTTTATTTTTGTTGTTCAATAAAAGTTTCTTTCTGCTTCCTTGAGATCCTATTAGGTATGTATATATGTGATTAATTATTTTAACATATTTTAGTTGTGAAAAAACAGTAGTATACATATTAGGACATTCAGCTAAATAGGAAGACTTAATTAAAAATCTTAACAAACTTTAATATTAGTAAGATTTAATGTTAAATATTTAGTAAAATTTGATGTTGTATCTAGACATTAAAAATTAAATTTAAAAATCATTATATTAATTTAAATATAATTATAAAAGTAAATAAAATGAGTATATCGAAAATAAGTTAACAATACATTTTGAAGATATAAATAAGGCCCACAAAAGGTACAAGTTGTGTTCTGTGTTTTGAATTTAAAATGTTTACCAATTCACTTTGTAACAGTATAAAATACAATGCGGTACCTACTTTGTTTCCCGCCATGAAAAAAATAGAATATTAAATATTAATAAAATTTGCTACGCCCATTAATGGGCATAATTTGTACGTAGCCTCTTTATATTGGTCAATAAATATTTTATTGGTATTTCTTTAATTCTTGTTTGTAACTCCTGGCATGTTTTTGTTAGTTGCATGTTTTTTAATTTTAATTGTCTATTCTCTACAGTGAAATATTTAATTGATTTTTCATTTTTACTTTTCGAGAAGTATGCGCGGTTAACGAATCATTTGTTTGGATAAAAGTATTGTGTAAATAAAATTCAGTTTCAGTCAATTACAGTATTTTTTTAATACGACCCTGTCTAACAATAGTTTATTTTCTGAGAAATTTTTTGATACGTTTTAATCCGGCCCTGACTAGGAAACGATAATGGCGCCGTCAAGGTCAAATTTTATTGAAATTTAAAACAATGGAATCTGAGCAGAGTTAGCCTGCCGTGTGATTTATATGCCGTGGTATTACTTTTAAATCTTGTTATATTATTTGGAACGTTTGAAATTGTTACTCTATTTTTTTACTCTATTTACTACGAAGTAAACGTACGTAGTAAATGTAAAAAAATATATTCTGGCATTATCAAATCTGGCAAATCCGTGATTTTTATACTTTTGACATTCTAATCCGTGCCGAAGTTATACGTCCTGTTCCCGAGGAGGAAACGCAGAAAACCGGCAAAGGAACAAGTTTACGGCCGGCGTACTTGTTCTAGTTGCGGAAATTCGCAATTGTGTCGGTCGGGAAAGCGGAATTTCCGTGCCGGACGAAAACCGGGAAAGCCAAAGTGGCTGACGTTGGCTCGTTTTCGCGATGATGCGCGCCGCGCGCAGGAAAACAGATTTAATGCCGTTTTGCTTTGCAATGTGTTTTTACTGAGCAAGACGAACAAACTAATTTTATCAAAATTACATACATGGTGGCCCATTAGTGCGAGGAAGTTCAATATCGTCTTCGTTTTCGAAGATACGAAAAACAATTTTATACAGACGTTGCATGGTTTATAAAGCAACGTTAACAACAAGTTATGATAAACTTGTATTTTTTTTTATATTGCATCCCCCCAATTTTTCTGTACAGGGTGGGTTAAATTCGACGCTTTTAAATGGAAACACCCTTTTCTATAGGAGATAGACAAAAACTAATATCGGTATCTGGAGCTCAATTTTTATCAAAAACATGATGGTGAAAACCGCACATCAATATCTGTTACCGTTTCGGAGTTACGGGGTGTTTTTCAAAAATGTGCCGGTTTATCAGTGTCGTTCTAATTTTATTTAAAAAATGTAAAACTATGATGTAGGGTAGACGTGGGGTAGACTCAATAATTTGTTGTTTTATTTTACGTTGTGAATAAATGTTGGTAGTTATTAAAATTGTTATAAAAATATATAATTCTAATAAAAATAGATAAGTTATAATAAGTATTTGTTAACACAAACATCCGATACGCTACTGAAGCAGGTAAGTCAAATTAACGTATCTAAATTCTTTGACATCTAATCTTTGACAAGTAATAAATAAAAGCTAAAATGCAAGAAAAAATATATAATTTAGTTAATTTAAGTGAATTTCATAAATGATCGGTTTACTACACGTATGTATATTATATAGTCACTTACTAGCGAAAAGTTGTTCCATTATTTCACTCAATTTTTGCCGAGATCTACCGCACGCTACACAACCAACTATTTTAGAGTCTTTTTCGATAAATCGCGATAGTGTCACTGTTAATTTAAGTTCTGCCACAATTTTCATCTAGATTTACTACCTTTATACAACTATCAGTAGTAGAATAAATAATAAATAACATAAAATAAGCTCCGTAAAGACTGACAAATCCACAAAATTTCAAATCAAATTCAAATGTGTCAAATGAATCGTCAAACAGAACTGTAAAGGATCCCCACCCTAGAGAGCTTTTATGGTGGCTTTTCCGCCTACCATGCATGAATACATGGATAGCATTATGCTCCTTCCTTAGTCTTCTTATTCAAAGGTTAAAACAAATGTAGGTGGCGCCCTCTACAATTAGGAGTCATATTGACATCAAAATCAAATTTCTTATGTCAAAAAACTCCCAGACACCAATTTTTTCATCCAAATATTGATGTTACTTCAGAATATGCTGCCGCGAAGTTTCCGAAATAAAGTTCGGATCACCCTGTATATGCATAATTTTATGCTGAAACCAAATTACAAACCATGTACCTACAAAAAATAGGGGGTTCAATTTAAAAAAAAATTGAAATTTTATCATAACTTTTTTTGGGGACACCCTATATACAACAAAATATGTTTAGGATATACACCATTGTAATGTGTAGAAAACTTTTTTTGATATCTTTGTCAACAACGACGATATTAGTTAGACTTCCTCGCACTATAATGAGTAATGAGCTACCCTGTATTTGTATACCAAATTTTTTTTGTATACCTATATTTGTCAAAGATTGGCGAAGAATATCCTTATATTATTCTTTTTATTCTTTATCACTAAGTTATAAAAGTAATCTGCAGGGGATCTGGCATCTTGACAACATTTCAAGTTCAAATTTATTTTTAGCTTCTTGAACCAATCTGTTTATTTTTATCTACAAGACGTTGTGATAAATGATAAAAGGTACTAAGTGAACACGCGAAGTAAAATAAAAAATAAATAATGCTTTACGACTTTCAAATATTCCATATTCCTAAATATAATAACAAAGTTTACAGAGTATATTATTTTATAAACTTTGATAATAATGTTCAGCCAGTTTATATACAACAAGAGCAACTTTACTTAGTATGGCTCGTTGGTCTAGGGGTATGATTTCCGCTTAGGGTGCGGGAGGTCCCGGGTTCAAATCCCGGACGAGCCCAAAACTTTTTTATTTTTTTTAAATGTATAAAATGATCTTTAGAATATTACCGTAATAAATTTCAGTAAATATCACTGAAATAATTAAATTAATGAGGATAAATCAAATATATTTCACTTACCTTGAGACTGAGCTGCTGAATGTGAAGTCCATGATCCTTTGTATGATGTATCTGAAATACAAATTATTACGTTAATTAATTAGTCCATATTAAGTAATTTATACTATTTTTTTAGAACTATTTTGTGACAAAGTTAACTAAAGTTTGTCTAGTGACAGTATACATGACAGTGGCAGTTTTTGTCTGTCATTTTAATTCACGGGTAAATTCTATTTTTTCCTTTGAATAAGAAGACTAAGGAAGGAGCATAATGCTATCCATGTATTCATGCATGGTGGGCGGAAAAGCCACCATAAAAGCTCTCTAGGGTGGGGATCTTTGACAGTTCTGTTTGACGATTCATTTGACACATTTGAATTTGATTTGAAATTTTGTGGATTTGTCAGTCTTTACGAGACTTATTTTATGTTATTTATTATTTATTCTACTACTGATAGTTGTATAAAGGTAGTAAATCTAGATGGAAATTGTGGCAGAACTTAAATTAACAGTGACACTATCGCGATTAATCGAAAAAAACTCTAAAATAGTTGGTTGTGTAGCGTGAGGTAGATCTCGGCAAAAATTGAGTGAAATAATAGAACTTTTCGCTAGTAAGTGACTATATAATATACATACGTGTAGTAAACCGATCATTTATGAAATTCACTTAAATTAACTAAATTATATATTTTCTTGCATTTTAGCTTTTATTTACTACTTGTCAAAGATCAGATGTCAAAGAATTTTGATACGTTAATTTGACTTACCTGCTTCGGTAGCGTATCGGATGTTTGTGTTAATAAATACTTATTATAACTTATCTATTTTTATTAGAATTATATATTTTTATAACAATTTTAATAACTACCAACATTTATTCACAACGTAAAATAAAATAACAAATTATTGAGTCTACCCCACGTCTACCCTACATCATAGTTTTACATTTTTTAAATAAAATTAGAACAGCACTGATAAACCGGAATTTAAGTCGGCCATATTTGAGGCCCATCGCGGCGTACCTAAGATTTTTAATATGCTCCTTCCTTAGTCTTCTTATTCAAAGGATACAACTTTTGAATAAGAAGACTACGAAAGGAGCATAATGCTATCCATGTATTCATGCATGGTGGGCGGAAAAAGCACTCTAGGGTGGGGATCCTTGACAGTTCTGTTTAACGATTCATTTGACACATTTGAATTTGATTTGAAATTTTGTGGATTTGTCAGTCTTTACGGAGCTTATTTTATGTTATTTATTATTTATTCTACTACTGATAGTTGTATAAAGGTAATAAATCTAGATGGAAATTGTGGCAGCACTTAAATTAACAGTGACACTATCGCGATTTATCAAAAATGACTCTAAAATAGTTGGTTGTGTAGCGTGCGATAGATCTCGGCAAAAATCGAGTGAAATAATGGAACAACTTTTCGCTAGTAAGTGACTATATAATATACATACGTGTAGTAAACCGATCATTTATGAAATTCACTTAAATTAACTAATTATATATTTTTTCTTGCATTTTTGCTTTTATTTACTTATGTATTTACTACTTGTCAAAGAATTTAGATACGTCAATTTGACTTACCTGCTTCAGTAGCGTATCGGATGTTTATGGTTATAAATAATTATTATAACTTATCTTTTTTTATTAGAATTTTATATTTTATAAGAATTTTAATAACTACCAACATTTATTCACAACGTAAAATAAAAACAAAATTATTGAATCTACTTATAGCGTCTACCCTACATCATAGTTATACATTTTTTAAATAAAATTAGAACGGCACTGATAAACCGGAAATTAAGTCGGCCATACTTGAGGCCTATCGCGGTGGACCTAAGATTTTTGATATGCTCCTTCCTTAGTCTTCTTATTCAAAGGGATACAACAGACTAACGCAAAGTGTTGATAGAATATTCTATTAATTTTAGTTGTGTTTTAAACATTGTGAATGATCGTAAACTAACAAGTATGAAGTGTAATTGAAACCATTTTTAATATTAAAAAAATAAAACAAACCAAATAAAGTCGATATTTACCAAATAGCATAGAGAATTGTCCAAACGTAGAGCTTCTACTCAGGTAATCGGTAGACGGTTTTATATCCAACATACTGAATAAGAATTTCAACATAAAACCATTACACGTCCATTTTTTCGTAATGTTTATCTTTCAGTAAATTCCAGTCAAAAACGAATAAAAAACACACGAATATTCAAATCACCTTCTGATACGAAAAAAATCGAATGATAACGCTAGTCACGTGACGATTTCCTGTCAAAACAAAACTGTCAAACTCTGACCGCGGTGTGTCAATCAGGAGCGCGTTTATGATCGACTGTGACTTTTTCAGTGGCGCGTCTTATCGTGGGGGGTTTCGAGCGGCGGGGGTGTGGTTAGGGGATGAATGGCGGCCAATGAGGGGTGGCGACAGGGAAAAAGCTGTGGCGTCACGGACGAGGACCGGCCCCTTTCGCCCCTCGGGCGCTTCGCCAGGGCCGGGAAGGGATCGTGTCTTCGCGCGTTGATCTGACGATGGGCCTTTCTGTGGTTTCGTTTTTCCGAGCTCATTGTGTGGCCGTAGAGTGCTAATATCTCGAAATGTAAAATAGAACTTCAAAAATACAGGGTTTTAACGCGACACGTTTATTAAATCTGATTTAGATACAAATCTGAATGAAGTAAAATTTAGTTGGAGGTGTCGAGGTGTGTTTTTAAAAGCATTTTCCACTTCTGGTTTATCTGGAGATGACTACCCCTCCCTCCCTACGTGGTTTATTTTAAATCAAAGATATTTAAACTCGGGAGATACAATGATCCATTCATAAAACGCTCTAAAGCTTCATCACACATTGGTTTGCGAAAATCAGCGAGTGCAAGAGAGAATGGATAGAGAAGGAAATAGGGGTATCTGCTCGATGGCAACAATGTAGTTGTGTACAGGGTGTCTCATTTTGGTTGAAATCATAAGGTATCTCGGTTATTAGCATTGACAAACTAACAAAAGCAAGACGCGTCAACGCTGTACCAAAGAGTAGATAAGACAAGAGACGACAGTTCGCGCGGTACCTTTCATGTTTGAGTGGTGGGGAGAGTGACCTCGTCTCGCTTGTCCCTTTAAATTTTCGTAACTTTTTCGCGGGAAATTTGAAATAGACTATTATTAAAATTTGCCTGTATAGCTTATAAATAGTTACCGTGTGGGTAAAGAGATAAATAGAAACGAAAAAAAAAATCAGTTTTCTAAATATTATATAAAATAAATTATAATTAGAAACATATTTGTCGGGGAATAAAGATAATAAAAGCAATATTTTGTATATCGTTGGTAAACAAGAGAAAGTGACCAAGTCGATTTGTAAGAAATGTTTTATTTACGTGTATTTTTTTTACATATGGACTTGAACAAGTGTAATATCACAATGTGGAGTTTATGTACAAAAAAATAGAGTTGCTCAATTTTTATTTAATAAATCCTCGCAATTACAAGCTTCTAACCATGTCTTCGATCTATGGATTACATTTAGTTTAATAACATAATTATATAGTATATTTCTATAAAAATACTTTTCAGGATCCTTTGGAAAAGAGTGAAATATTATGTTTGTCGAAGAACAAGACCTATTTTTGCAGTCTTTATAAGCACACACAATGCCACCATCTCGTCTTTTCCTGCTACTCGTGTCCTGTTCAGTATTCATATTTAACAATAATTACAAATTAGAACGCAATAAAAACGATACTAAAATTAAACCTTAAAAACTCTCAAAACGATAATATATCGAAAAACTCTGAAAACACACTTTAAAAAGGCAAAAATGCAAGAAAACAACTAATCAGATTTGTTTATGTTTAAGCCTGATTAGCACAGCTGATTAGCGTCCTAAAATCTTAGGTTCGAATAAATAAAATGCGCAGTTGTCAGATTTTCAGATTTTATCAGTTTATCTTTGAAATCGACCAACTTTAGTCATTCTGTTTCTTTGATATTATCAGTACATTGCGAAAAAAGAACCTAAACCAACCTAAACTAAAAATTTACATTTCCGTATTAACATACGTTACTTCATATCCTTCTTATATTATTAATTTATTTTCAGAAAATCTTGTTTATTTTTCAAAGAAATATACTTGGCAACAGACAAAATGGGACTTGATGGGACCTTTAAATTTTAATATATCTGCGTCTCTCTCGCGAAATTCGACTTCTTTGTTCACTGTCGTCTCTTGTCTTATCTACTCTTTGGCTGTACTGCAAAACGGTAACAAGTTTGATAAGAGTTTATTACCGCGCTTGCGTCAACTGGCCTTTTAGACGAGGACGGTTTACTTATGGATTGTGTATTTTGTAGTAGCCTTTTAGACAAGGATGTTTAATTAAAAAGCGTTTATTAAAATCAAATAAATTTATCGGTAAAATAAACAATAATTTCTGGACATAACAGATATAAAAACAAAAGTTTAATAAACGAAAACGTATTCCTCTTATTAAAATAACAAAAAAGATGATAAAAAAACAACAGTTATGGTAAACGAAATAAAAGCATTATTCTTCAAAAGGTACAAAAAAATTATTATGTATATTATAATATTAATAATAGGAACAACAAGAAACATCTTAAAAATATACAACTTTTTCAAATATAAAACATAAACTTCACATTTTCACAAGAATTTTCAAAAATATTAACATTTCGAGTCTATTATAAAATATAAAGCACAAAAATTCAAATCATAAAAAGATTAAAAAGATAAAGATTCTTATAACTTACAGTCAATTTGTAGGACCTTCGTTTTGTCTACGTTAGCGATGTAACCACAATAATATGTATAATCACAGTAATTATTATGTTCTTCATAAATGTAAAATGTATTAAATTATTTGTTTTCGTTTTGTACGCTAATAAAATAATAGTAATAACCAAACAAAACGCAAAATCAGGAATTCAACAGTTCGTTCAAGGATGGTTCAAGGCAAAAACGTTTTTCGTTTTATTTAGGTTAGGTTTGACGAGTGCGACTGCGCGATGATTTCTGACTCAACTGGCCAGCGCAAAAACAATAATTCGACTTCCTCAATCCTTTGAAAAGTCTTGCTTTTGTTAGTTTGTCTATGGTTATTAGTAAAGATAGGAGGATGCGGTTTGCACAAACCTGTCCCACTTTTTTGTCAAACGAAAGATGCTGTAAACAAAATTTTCATAGCCCTCTTCGTTTCTGAGCTACAGGGTCTTTTCGAAAATTTTGCAATTTGGGACAGCCCTAGTATATCCGTTATTATGGATGATATCGAGAAGGTGAAAATTGATTCTTATAGAACTTTTTACGTAGAATACAGTGGCGTAGTCTATTTTTTTACGGAAAGAATATTTTTGAAAACATGAACTAAAGTTATGTTTTTTCAAATGGAACGTCCTGTATATTTATAAATTATATGATCCGTCTTTCTATGAGCTTCTCAAAAATATATATCACTCTATATTTATTTTCACTATTTACTTCAATATTTAAAATATATCATTTTTTTATTAGTAGGCCGTGATAAATAACATAAAAATCAAAATGGTATTTACTAAAATAGTCATACACACATTAAAATTTTATTTGGCATTGATATATTTTACTTTTGAACTGTTACCACTGAATCTCGGAATATATCTTTCTTTCTTTATAACGGGATGGGTTTGCATATATCTAAAAGCTTGGCATTATTAAAGCATTTTCCAGGTGTTCGACATTGTTGTAGTTGCCACGAAATATTTCATATTTTAAAAATCTCCAAAATCAGAAATCGAGAACGGACAAATCCAGGAACCAGGGAAGCCATCATATGGGTCCATTGCATTGGTTCCAATTGATTGATTTGAGAAATAATAATTTAACAAAATTCTAATATTTTTAAAGTTGTTAGGGAAAGCCCCATCTTGCTGGAAGTATATTTCACGTAAATTAGCTAAAACATATCTAAAAGTTTCGGTACGATAACTTCCAAGATTTACAAATAGCCGTAGAGAGTTAAGTTTTCCTAATATTTATAGAAAAAATTTATTAGTGGTCCCTAAAATAAAACAGAGACAGCGGTATGTTGTTAATAATTCGTTATTTTCTTTTATTATCAATCATGGCCAAAGTCATGGCCTACTAATAAATATGATTTTTTAATAAAAACTTCTAAATATTGCAGTAAATAGTGAAAATATATATAGAATGATATATATTTTTCAGAAGCTTATGGCAAGCCAAATCATATAATTTATAAATATACAGGGTGTTCCATTTAAGAAAACATAACTTTAGTTCATATCTTCGAAAATATTATTTTTGTAGAATAACAGACTACGCCACTGTATTCTCCGTAAAAAGTTCTACAATAAACAGTTTTTACCTTCTCGATACATTTCGCAATAACAGAGATACGGGGGGTGTCCCAAATTGCAAAATTTTCCAAAAGACCCTGTAGCTCAGAAACGAAGAGGGCTGTGAAAATTGTGTTTACAGCATCTTTCGTTTGACAAAAAAGTGGGACAGGTTTGTGCAAACCGCATCTTTCTATCTTGACTAATAGCGGAGATACAGTATGATTTCAACCAAAATGGGACACCCTGTACAAAGATTAGACGTTTGAGGTCAATTTCCAGTGGCGTGCCGATCGGCCGTCAGTATTTTAAGGAAATTAAAATAATTGTTTAATAAATTAAAATAAAATAATAATAAAACTTATATCTTACATATTTGTCGCATTGTAAAAAAATAAGTTGAGGGAGGATGGCGAAATAAAATTAAAACCGGCATAATTTTTTATTATAAGATGGCTTTTCACATAAGAATAACGATTAAAAAATTAAAAAGCGTTTTTTACTTTATTTTATTAAATAAAATATCAAATTTTAGGTGTATTAGTAAATGCAGTTTCAATATCTTGTTCCAAACCTTGTTCGTCTCCGGCGAATGAAATTCCCTCTATTAGCAATAACAAAATAAAATTGTTATTTTAACCTAATAACACAATATTTTACCAAAAACCAATATTTGTAGAGTTTATTATTATTAGAGTAGTAGTATGTAGAGTCTTTATTATTATATATATGAATTTTACAACTACAATAAAACAACTTAGTTTTACAACTAAAATAAATTTAAAATGTGCCTTATAATTTTTATTAGTTCACAATTGTTCATTAATGAGGGAATAAGAAGTAAGAAAATTCAACATTTATTTACCTGAACTTTCATTTTAGGGATGTTTCAAACACAGTAAATCAGAACTGAAAATATAAGATGTATATTATACCGTATGATCGAATAAAAACGGCGTCA